CGTTGGACCCGATCTACTTCTCTTATTAGTACCGAGCTGACCACCTCGTCACTTGCCGAGAGGTATAGCTCTAAAACATCACCTTCTTTGGGTCGGGTTAAGAGTGGGATGCTGGCGAGGTGCTTTTTGAGCTCGTCGAACGCGAGCTGGCACTCTTCGGTCCATTCAAAGCCTTTGCCTTTTATGGCCTTAAAGAAGGGAAGGCAGCGATCTGCTGACTTGGACATGAAGCGGCTCAGAGCGGCTAACCGACTGTTTAACTTCTGAACCTCTTTCAATTTCCGGGGTGGTCTCATTTCTAGGATGGCTTTAATTTTGTCCGGGTTAGCCTCAATGCCGCGCCGATTAACGATGTACCCTAGGAATTTACCCGAGGTGACACCGAAGACACACTTGTTCGGGTTCAATTTCATATTAAATCTACGCAGAATTTCAAAAACTGAATGTAAATCTTGTATTAAATCATGTGAAAATTGGGTTTTGACGACCATATTGTCTACATAAAACTCTATTTTTCTGCCAATTAATGGCTCAAATAGTTTATTTACAAGCCTTTGAAATGTTGCCCCAGTGTTTTTCAACCCGAAGGGCATGACCTTGTAACAGTACAGGCCGAGCTCGGTAATGAAGGCAGTTTTCTCTTCATCTGCTGGGTCCATCCTGATCTGATTGTAGCCCGAATAGGCATCCCGGAAGCTCAACAACTCATGCCCCGAGGTCGCGTCCACTAGACGATCGATCATGGGAAGTGGGAAGCAGTCCTTTGGGCAAGCTCGGTTTAGGTCGGTGTAGTTGATGCACATGCGCCATTTACCATTAGCCTTTTTCACTAGGACTGGGTTGGCCACCCAGCTCGGGTAATGGACTTCCCTGATGAAATCGGCTGCAAGGAGCCCTCCGACCTCCTCGTCGACTGTCCTCCATCGCTCTGGGGCTAGGTTGCGTTTCTTCTGTCTAACGGGCCTAACTATAGGATCAGTATTGGGCTTATGAGTTATAATGCTGGGGTCTATGCCGGGCATTTCTGCCGCGGACCATGCAAAAATATCTAAATTTTTGAGTAAGAAACTTACCAGTTGAGACCGCAGGGGCTCCTCAATAGAAGCGCCGATCTGAAGTACCCGAGGTGGGTCCTCTATCAAAGTTGGGATGGAGATGGTCTCTTCGATGGGTGCAGCTCGCTCCGCGGGTCGCTCTAGCTCGAGGTTGTCTGCTACCTTGGCTTTTCCTTTAAGGGCGGCTACATAGCACTTATGGGACTCAAGCTAATCGCCTCGCGTCACCCTGACTCCGAAGTCTCTAGGGAACTTCATCGCCAGGTAGTAGGTGGAGACCACTGCTCGTAAGGCGTGGGTGATGGGCCGACCTACTATTGCGTTGTACGGGGAGGGAGTCGCGGCCACTAGGAACTCATGGTTGAGCCTTACCACGCTAGGCCAGGTGACGACCTCCACAGGTACAGTGATTCTCCCTAAAGGTCTGACCTCCTCTCCACTAAATCCCACTAGTGGAGTGTTTGCGGGCTTCAGGTCACCTTCCTGGAGCTGAAGTTGATCGAAGGCTGCTTTGAAGAGAATGTCCGCCGAGCTGCCCGAGTCGACGAGGACACGCCTGACCTCGAAGTCGTTGATCTTTATCTTTATGACGAGCGCGCCATCATGGGGATAATGGACCCCTCGCGCGTCATCCTCTGTGAAGAAGATCGGTTCCTCCATCCTTGGCTACTTCGGGGGATTCTGTTCTTCCCTGGCGGCCTCATGAGCTGATGACCAAACTACAGCTGAAGTGCAGCCCGCGACAATTGATCCTCCTAAAATTACATTGATAGTCCCCCGGACTGGTCTCCCATCGGGAGGCTGCCTCTACGGCTGTTCCACTTGCCTGCTGGATTTGGGAGTGTCTTTACTCTACTCCCCCTACCGACCTGCTTTATTATTATTATTGTTTTGTACAAAATTTCTCAGATATCCGCGACGAGATAGAGGAACTCAATACAAATTTTTATTGAAACTACAATACCAATTTTTATTCCTAACACTGGGGTCGGCCTTCAGCCGAGGTGGCCATTTCACATATGGGGCGTCCTTGATCGCCATGAGGATCTCGACCCGCTTTGCGTTGAGGGGCGTGTAGTCCCTTTCTTCTGTTGGAGCTCGGAAAGACTGAGTTGGCTCTGTCCCCCGAGCTTGGTCCTTCTTCTTCTTGCTGTCGCTTGGAGCTGGGGGCTCTGGTTCCCTCTTTCTTTTTTCAAGGGCCTACTCGCCCTTCTGGTTGATCTCCTCCTTTGTCCCTATGAACTGATCCGCGAGTTTGAGGAACTCGGTCACGGTCTTGGGTTGATTGACAACTACGTGCCACTTGAACTCTTTGTGGGTGATGCCCCGCTTGGCCGCAGTCGGGTATCTATAAGCAAGCGTTATTGAACCACTTGATGTAGTTTCGGATGGACTCTCCTTCCCTCTGAACTATGCTAAGGAGGCTCTCTTGGGTTCTCGGGCACCTTTTACTGGTGACGAAGTGGGAGGTAAAGACTTGTAGGAACTGCGCCCAGCTCCTTATTGAACCTGGCGTGAGGTTTCGGTACCAGGTGCGGGCTACTCCTTTGAAAGTGGTGGAGAAGGCCACACACATGCAAGATTCACTAGCTCTTGCCAGGTGCATTTGGGATTGAAAGGCGTCCACGTGGTCATTGGGATCGAAGGATCTATTGTACTTGTCCAGCGGGGGGAGCTTGAAGTCCCTTGGCATGGGGACAACAAGGAGCTCTGGTGACAGGGGGGAAGGAACTGAAAGAAGCGGAGTAGCTTTTACCTCGCTCGAGCTTACTTCTTCCTTGCCTTTGAGTTCGGGCAGGTCACGGGTGGTAGTTCGGCGACTCCTTCGCTGCTTCTTAGCCGGCTCGGCGTTGGTGCTACTAGCCTCGGTATTACTGAGCTCGATGGGCCCAAGGAAAGGCTCGGACTGCTGTCGGTAGCTGCGAACAGAGGGACCTTGTCCCAGGTCGTCGGCTAGCACCTCGAACCGGTTTTCGGCAAGTGGGGGTTTGAACTGCAAACGCTGAAGTGATACGGGCCTAACTGGCTGGGAAGCCCCCGACCTAACTGCAGGCCGCGAGGCGGGGGTAGGTGATCTCTCCTTTCTCCCATGAGACGATAGTGAGGTCTCTCCTCGGCAGGAAGGGAGTTCACTTCGGTGGTGGGCTTGGTTGGCTATGCAGCTGGATGCCAAGGAGGGAGTGAAGGAAACTGTTGCTGATACTGGTACTGGGAAACTTGGTGCAGCACTTGCTGCTAGTGAAACTGGAGCTGCTAGAACTGTTGCATCTGAGCCTGCATGGCTCGCATGCACTGCATCAGATCCTCAAGCTGACCTTGGCTGGTCACCGGAGGGGGGATGGTGGGTTCAACGAAGGTTGTTCCGACTGTAGAGGGAGGTGAAACAGTCACGGGTGCCACTGCCTGAGGCACATTCAAACTGGGAATCCCGTCCGTAGAGAGGGGGACGGTGAACTGTCCGATGCAGACAGTGGGAAACTGGGGTTGTTCCTCAGGGGTGTTTTGGTGTCCAACGTTGCTGGAGGAAGCCATGGGTTTCGGTGATGCTAATGAGTTCTTTGGAGAAAGTTGCACAGAATTTAGAGGAAGGCCTTTTGAAGCGATTCCCACAGATGATGCCAAATGCACGATCTGGGCACTCCTAGCTGGCTGAAATCTGACTCCTAGCTGTGACAGACGACACCTGAGATGGAGAGGAACGTGAAGGATTCCCAGGGAGCTCTCTCGGCGGGAACACTCCGATGGCTAAGTTAGAACTCTGAGAAAACTCAAGGAAAACATAGAGAGAGTTAAGAGTGCTGAAAGTGCTAACTTCAATACCTTTGCTTCGTGAGGGTCGGGGTCCTCTTATATCGGAGCTCTGTCACATCAGGCGTAACCGCCATTGCCATAGCTGTTACTGCTAGGGCTGAGGTGGCGGTTGCAGGCAGCCGTTGCGGGGTACGAACTCGTCAGGCGTGCCATGCTTTTCAGAGATGGCAGGCACGACGCTGCCTGGCGAGAGACGTGGGTGCTGCCACTAGAGGTTGTCGAGCTACTTTGCACCGAACTACCTCGGGCCGAACTATCTTGCACCGAGGTGCCGAGGTACGCCGAGGTGCTCACACTAGAGGCGAGCCTTGAGCAAGTATGAACAGAAGTGTCGACGGTGTTTCTCCCTCGGGACACTTAGCCAAAAGTCGGAGTGTTCCCTTCTTAGGAAGGAAGTGCTCGAAACCCCTTAGGAGGAGCTCGGGTCTCAAGGGGAGCTCGGGGCGCTCCACCCATAGGGCTTGGGGTGAGTTGGGCCTTGCTTCCCGGCAAGTTGCCATATCTGCCGAGTCGTTCGGCTGGGCCTCGGCGAGCTTGTTACGCCGAGTCATGGCCAGACTATCGTGCTGAGTTGTCACTTATGTTAGGTCATGTCCACGTGTCCCCGTACTACTAGCCCGACATCAACACACAATGCAGAATTCTGAATTCCAGCCCCCCTACTACTAGCCCTCTTCCTCATATAAACCACATCCTGCCCGTGAATTTGGTATCACCTGTATTTTTGGGCTATAAAATTCTGATCTGGGCTGATCGGTCATTCTCTATATTTTTTTGGATAAATTTCTTAAATTATATCTGTTTGCGAAATTGATTAACGGTACCCTTATTAGTCTTAAAGTATCCTTACTGTTTATAAAAATTGACATCCCTGTTAAATGCTAAAAACAAAATGTCGAATTTGCCTTAAACTATTTCTCAAATTTCAAAAAAAATCCAACCGAACGGTTGGCCATGGAAAGAGACCGACGTCCGAAGGCTCAACTTCGTTCACTTCGTTCTCTCTGCCTTACCAATCACTTCGCTACAGATCTCTCTTCTCTCATTCTTCCTCTCCTCATCTCCATTGTTGTTGCAACTGCGTTCAATATTCGAGGAACCCCCACACTACAATAAATGTTTTACATCAGAAAGTTGCTGCCGTCGCAGTAAAAGATATTTCTTATAATGTATTCTGCATCATCCTTTTTTTCCTCTCAGTAGTCTCAAGTGAACATTGATAGCGGATTTGGTTTTACCACAATTTTTATTGGTAGGTGTTGCTTGGAAGGTACAGGCGTGTAGATACGTCCGTTTCTGGTGAGGGGAACAAAATAGGGATCGAGAGATGGGGAAACAAAACAGGGCCGACTCTGATCTGACGACCTCCACTTAGCAGTGAAGAGAACTCTCTGGTCGCTCCATCAAGGGCCATCTGACGGGGACGGTCAAATAAGTTTCCATGATGGTGGTAGGGACGGTGAAATAAGGGTCCTTCACTACCGAGTAATACAGTCTTTCAACTTCTTCAACATGCATGAATACTGCAGCTTCGACCACTACAATCGATCTTCCGAAAAACCTTCATGAGGAACAACCCTCCACAGTGTTTCTTCCCTCCCAGACGGATCGTTTGCACTTTTCGTTGCTGTGTCATCAAGATCTTCTTGTGTATCGGCAACCTGAAAAATTGTATTCCTCCTTTACTGGGTTTATGTGAACGAATATCAGAACAAATTTAGCCATAAGAATAGAACATGGCACTAGTAGACAGAAGAAAGAGAGAGAGGATGCAAATTGGGTAAATGAGGTGTAAGAAGCATCTCTCCGACCTCAGCAGCAGTGTTGGCGTCTACGCTTTTTGTCTCCGTGAGCGCCTTTTCGCTCTCATCGCCGATCAAGTCCAAACCCAAGCCGAAGAACGTCGGAAATCTGATTCACATCCACCGCCGCTGATCTTTCCCCACTCCATCTCTCCTTGCGTTTGCCGCCACTCGGACGATTCCTCCTGGCACCACAATCACTTCGATCAACGATTTTACAGTACTCATAAAGTGGGTCCCACCTCAAACACCGCCGCGCATGGTCGTAAGAAGAAATACAGCAAGTTCTCTCTGTTCGCCTCCCTTTTCACCTCCAGATCGAAAGACCATCGCCACGAAGCCAACGATGAAAAATCTAGAGTTTCAAGATTTTCTAGAGTTTCAATTTCCTCCTCATCGTCCTCTCCGATCTCATCCTCCTGGTTCTCCTCTACTGCTACTGTTGCTGCTAAAACCACCACCACTACATGCAGTCGTCGGCCATGCCAGGCGAGGAGTCGAGGAATGTCGCCGTCAAAGGGCATAAATGACGGAAAAAACTACGAAGACTACGAAGTTTCTCCTTCGACGAGTTGGTACTCATCGGATGCCTCCCAAAGTCGGTAGAAATACCTGATGACGGCGCCGCCAGTTTGACGGAGAGAAACTCCACAGCACAACCGAAACGTTTCGGGATTGGCGTTCTGTTTGAGCCCGATGGAGGTTTTGAAATGACGGGAAGGTGGTTTGAACATCATTTTTCTGCCATCATTTTGATGATGGGAGAGAGAGACCGGAGGGGGAGGGGGAGGTCTGAGAACTTCAACGAACAAGAAGGTTTTTTGAACTATGCTGGTGTTGAGATGAACGGGATGAGGGTAATATTGGGTTTCAAAAAATTTTAATAGGTTACGTGGGGTCGAGCATACGTTAATGGTAATGATAGAGAATAATTAAGGATAGTTTAATTAAACAGTAAAGTTAGTCAATTAAGACATTTACTCTTTTTTTCTCAGCATTGTATATTTGTATGAGCTATATATCCTTAGTCACCATACACTCATACACAACCAAACTTCTGTTTCAGACTTTCAGTTCTTCTGTTCCGTTCTTGAGCATTTCCGGATCTTTCTGGTTCTCTTTGCCTCTCTCATTTGCAACCTCTAATATCGTTCCTGTTGCACGTGAATCTTCTGAATTTCTGTGCGTTGCATCCTTTTCTTCTTCTTCTTCTTCTTTCCTTTGCTAGTTTTGAACTGCTTATTTATTAGTAGGGCCTTCTTCTAAATAATGTAATCTTGGAGGTCTTAGTTCTTTGATGCCCATTTGCACTAAGCTGTTGTAAATCACCTCGAGTTAGTCTACGGTCATGGATCCTCGCTAATTTCTCAGCATCTGCTCTGTTGCTTCAAGCTTTTGTAGTTTTTCAAGGTTTTCCGTTTCGATTAGGTAATGCCCATTTGCTTCAAATTGTTCTAACCAGTCCTAATATCACTTTACAAGCATGGGTTTTCGTTAGTTTCTCAGTTCCTAATCTATAGACACCTGAGTTCCTGTCTGAGTAGAATCAAGTTACTTCGAACGTGTAGAAGTTAGGCCATGTAATCTGTCACTCAGGTTCTGATGTATACCTGTTCTTTTGGTGCTCAGTTAATGTGTAGCAAGTAGCAACCTTTCTGATAGTTGAAAACAGGGAGGTAATGGATCTGAGTTCTGTCAAAGCCATCCGTTAGTTGAGTTCCTCGTACATGGAGAGCGTTTGTCTATTTCGTTAATTATCATTTTCCGTCGGAACTCCTAATGGACTCTTCTCGCTAGCCACGAACCGCAGTTATTTGCAGATATAGGATTCAAATAAGGAGGGGATCGCAAAACCTATTTATTCTTTGAGTTCAGCTCATTTAAATTCATTTTTTCTTAATAGCAAAATACAGAATCCATTCTTTTGTATTCTTTGATATGTAATATTCTACAGTTGCAGAGTTTTTCATGGCCCAATTCGAGGGTCAGTTATACATTGAGAATGAAATGAACTCTTACATTTTCCTTTTCTTCCAAAATCTTTTGATGACCAAGAGTTCACTACCTTAGCTGATGTTAATTTAGGTATCATACTGACCTCTCGAGTCTCTTAAATCTACCATTCTGTGTTTAGTATCTTTTTTGTGTCTCGTCTGTTGTCCCAGCAAGTTGTCTGTCAAAGAAAAAAGAGAGGGGGAAAAGAAGTATACTACTTCTTTCTCACAACATTAATCATGGAAGAAACGTTTGTGCCCTTCCGTGGCGTAAAAAATGATCTTGAAGGCAGACTGTTGTGCTACAAACAAGATTGGATGAGTGGTTTCCGTTCAGGTTACAGGTTCGTGCTTCTTCCATCACAGAATATGCTACTCTTGTTTTCTGATGAATTATAAATTTTAGCTTTTGGACTTGGTTCATTTACTCGATATGAGTTGTGAGTTGTCATTATTTTTCTTTCCTTTTCCCCAACCCTTCTCAGTTTTTGAGGAATGTTTACTTGGTTAGTCTACTGCATGAACAGATCTTGAAAACACTAGTTTCATGGTTTATTATTTCATTGTATGCAAAATGCGAATTTAATATTCCTCCAATTATTCAGGATCCTCGCTCCCACGACATACATATTCTTTGCTTCAGCAATTCCAGTCATATCTTTTGGAGAGCAACTGGAGAGAAATACAAGTAGAGGACAGACTAGTATCTTTATTAGTATTTCTTATTGCCTTTACAGATGACTTGGTAAGATATGTGTCCCTCTTATTTTTCAGATGGAGCTTTAACTGCAGTGCAAACACTGGCATCAACGGCGTTATGTGGCATCGTACACTCTATTATTGGAGGACAGCCACTGCTTATACTTGGAGCTGCCGAGCCAACTGTGCTGATGTACACGTTCATGTTCAACTTTGCCAAGGACAGGCCAGATTTGGGGCAGAAGTTCTTTTTGGCCTGGACAGGATGGTACACCCCAAGTGCTTGAAAGTTTTGGTTCCCATATTGATACTCAACAGTACATGTTTAAATGACTCTTCAAGCAGATACTGAACCAATTTCTTGTCTTGGTTTGATTTTCAGGGTTTGTGTTTGGACAGCACTCCTGCTCTTCTTGCTGGCTATTCTGGGTGCATGTTCTATTATCAATAGGTTCACCCGTCTTGCTGGTGAACTTTTTGGCCTGCTAATAGCAATGCTCTTTATGCAGCAGGCTATTCGGGTGAGGATGCTTATTTTATTTTTAGTTTAGTTTAGTTTTTTTTTTTATTATTTTTTTTTGGGGGGGGGGCATTGTAGCAAAATTCTGAGTCAGATGCAGAAAATCCCAGGGTTCAATTGCGCAGTCCTTTTGCAATGACACAGTTCAATTGCAGTTTCCCAACCTAATAAAGAATTTAAACAGTGTCCTTATGACCATTGATATCTAATTGATTTGGGTATCATTTCTTAGTTAATGCATTAAAGAAATGAGGTTTTTATAGCGACCGATGTTTGTGTGTACAAAGAATTTTATGTTTCAAAAGTTAAACCAGTTTTATGTCAGACACGGACTCTTCCAGTCAAATGGATGTTCACCATAAGTGGGGTGATGCATATAGATACAAATTATAGATTGATCTACATCAATTCCATATCTCCATAAATAAATAGTTTAATAGAAAGGTCAACCTATTTCTTTTTACCATACTATCTATTGCACTGTTATTGGATCTATATACCATTGATTTAATCCAGTCCACTCATTTAAGTTAAGACTCAGAGTAGTTTACTGATAACACATTGACTTTGTTCAGAAACAATTTGGGGAGTCTCTTAATTTCTCCATAGGAGATATACTAATTTGTTCTTGGATCAAATGCCAATTATCTTTCAGTACCTTGAACCTCTTGAAATGCATCATGTAGGGAGTTGTCGAGGAGTTTGGCATACCGAAGAGAGAAAATCCTAAGCAGATTGCTCTCTTACCATCATGGCGCTTTGGAAATGGAATGTTTGCACTGGTTTTGTCCTTTGGCCTTCTTCTTACTGCATTAAGGAGCCGTAAAGCAAGATCATGGCGCTATGGAACAGGTATCAATAATTGACAAGAACCTGAATTTCATGTAACAAAGAGGAAATGCAATTTTTCTCTTGGGTTGTAATTAGAAGGTTCAGTTTGAACATCAATGAGGGACTGCTTTTTCTTATAACCTTGATCTCTCAATCCAACTTAGCTACTGAACAGAAGAATCTGAAGTGGCTTCACAGCAATCAAATACTTTCTTCTAAGATAATTAAGTTTAGGTTTCCACAATTTTATTTATCTGACTTAAAAAGATCAATTGTTCTTGGAATTAATATGTTCAAAGAATAAGCTGGAAATATTCTCTTTCTATACATCTAACTGGTAAATGGGTTCCAAAATTTCAGGTTGGCTACGGGGGTTCATCGCCGATTATGGGGTCCCGCTTATGGTGCTTGTATGGACTGCTGTATCTTACATACCAGTTAAAGATGTCCCCAATGGGATCCCAAGGCGTCTCTTCAGCCCAAATCCATGGTCTCCTGGTGCTTACTCAAATTGGACAGTTATTAAGGTGCCTTCTACAGTTATATCCAACAAATATAGTAGCTCCGGACTTTCTTCCAATAGTGAATAGATAGACTCCATCCACATTTACCATGATTTAGGGTTTTCCTGTGAACCTCAAGTCTCAGTTTGTTTGCAGTGCAAATTTCATCTTCATTGGTGTAAATGCATGGGAATGCAAATAGGCTGAGTGTAAATTCCAGTTTACTTTTTTACTTCAGAGGGTTATTTGTTTGTTAGGAAGCAAGATGATGTGGTCCCCACTTTATATGAGAGAGAACTGAGGTTAGAGAATGTGGTCCAAATTTTGCATCAGTTTTTGAGATGTAAAATTTGTACTTCAAATGAGGAAAAAAGTACACGTTTACATCTGGTTCAGATTTCCCCTGAAAACAAACAGAGACCAAGGAGTTAAGTGAATAAGCTTCTTGTTGTTATTTCCTTTTTTTTTTTCATGTTATATCATGAAAGAATGTTGGTTGAAAATGCAATTTCTTGAGTTTAAGTTGAACTGTTGATCAATGACTTTTTTGCGTTCTCCACTTTGATTATGGTTTTTAAGCCTTGCTAGAAACTTATGCTTGTTTGACTGGGCAGGACATGGCAAATGTACCACTGTTATATATTCTTGGAGCGTTTATTCCAGCAACCATGATTGCTGTCCTCTACTACTTTGATCACAGTGTGGCATCTCAACTTGCTCAACAAAAGGAGTTCAATCTTAAAAAGCCATCTTCATACCATTATGACCTTCTTCTTTTAGGTTTCTTGGTAAGCTAGTAGAATTAGCATGGTAACATTGTCAGATTCTATTTTAATCTTAGGTTGAAGCTCTTAGCAGTTAAACTACCAAGTGCACCATCAGCTTTAGGGCCTCTTGTTGCTTTAGGTGATAAAATCATCCTTCACTCATTTGACCCACTTAATAAATTAAAAAAATTGAGAAACCTGACAAAATAAATGCAAAAGCTAAAAAATTAATAGAATGTAAGGAAATACCATATCAGATCAGTTGGTTTGAACACTGTGCTAATAAAATGAAAGTTGTAAACTTCTACGTATCATCCCTGCATAGACCAATCCATCATTCGGCATTGCAATCTTTCAACATTATGATAGTTATCAACAGAAAAATGTCAGAAATCAAGGCCCATGTCTTCAATCTTGAGATGCCGGAGCTTAAAAATAAAGCACAACTTATGTTTTTGAAATCCACATTTGCAAGAGTTTCATTAATTTTTAATTGTGCTTTTTGGGTAGGTCATATTGTGTGGTCTTATTGGCATTCCTCCCTCTAATGGCGTCATTCCACAATCTCCAATGCATACGAAGAGCTTAGCTACCTTAAAGCATCAGGTAAACATTAATTGGTACATGACAAGGCATAATGCTTTTCCATTTTGGCATTAATTCTTGACGTTGTGATTTTGATTTACAAATCTAGTTCTATGTCTTTATTTCTTGAATTTATTCCACTGCTTTATCCTTATTAAGGATAGGTTTCTCTCCCTTTTGTTGTCTCAAAGTTGTTTCAGCTGTTATAATTTTCATTCTGTTGGCTTATATTCTTTTAGGAGTAGCACTTTGATTGGTATTGGAAGATTGGAGCAAGATTCATTCTGTCCTAGTGTTAAATGATTCCAATGCAGAAAATCACCAAGGATATGTTGATAAAAAAAGAAAGTTACCAAGGACATAAGCATGACAGTAATGGATAACTAAGATCCTATTGAGTTGATCCTAATTTTTCTCCGTCTACCCTGCATGTGCAAAATCTTTTCTCCAATAAGAGCAGTACTTCCTGCCATATCCAATTTCAGTATTGCTATTTACATAATCTCTTTAGATTCTCTAGATATGAATATCTGTTTGTTATTATCTTTGTCCTTTTGCTCTCTTATCTTTATGAATTACTTTATTTTCTTTTGAACAGCTGTTACGCAATAAACTTGTTTCAACAGCTCGCAAAAGCATCTGTGAAAATTCAAGCTTGAGTCAACTGTATGGGAACATGCAAGAAGCATATAATCAAATGCAGACTCCATTAGTTTATCAAACTCCACCTGGTCTGGTAAATTAAACAAATCTAATGTGTTATGTGGAACTTATAATTCAAATAATAATCAAGTTTGTTTTCGATCTTTGTTTCCTGATAGCAGTTCTTTATGCAGGGGCTTAGGGAGTTAAAAGAATCTACAATACAACTAGCTGTAAGTACTGGACACATTGATGCCCCTGTTGATGAGTCAGTGTTTGATGTGGAGAAAGAAATTGATGACCTTTTACCCATTGAGGTCAAAGAGCAGAGACTTAGCAATTTGCTTCAGGCCATGATGGTTGGTGGCTGTATTGCTGCCATGCCTCTGCTGAAGAAGATTCCAACTTCAGTTCTTTGGGGATATTTCGCTTTCATGGCCATTGAAAGCTTGCCAGGGAATCAATTTTGGGAGAGGATATTGTTGCTTTTCACTGCACCAAGTCGAAGATACAAGTATGTTTTTGACCATTTTGTTCTATTGGATAATGTTTTAATGTAGTCTTGTTATCATCTGTAGTTTAATCATAAATAATACCTCTAGATCAACCTTGTCAGTTTTTAAATTGAACCCTCACCACTCTCATCTGATTCCTCCAATGGTAATCAAGTATTCTTTGTCATACCAGCCAAATTTCTTCATCTGATTCTTCTGACTGGGTGAAAGTTTCCACCCCTTCAACCATAAAAAGCATACACACTTTGATACTGAATTACTTGTTGCATGGATTTTTCTATATAGAAAAAGTAACCATGTTCTTAACAATTTAAATCCCAACACCAGATGGTTAGGAAATGAGACTCCAGTGTTCTGTTTTTTCTCTTCAGATTTGTGGATATGAATATGAATTTATAATATGATATTTGATTTTAGAAAGGTTTTATGGGTATTAGTGTCTTAGGTCCAGATAAATATTACATAACCATGCCAAAAAAAAAATAATATAGTGAAGTTACTTAGATCATTTTGGCAATATATTTTTCACCCTATCATTCTTATCCTTGTTTTAAAGAATATTATCATTTAATAATAACCATGTCCACTAACCGCTGCTTTCCAATTTATCAGGGTGCTTGAGGAATATCATGCAACCTTTGTGGAGACTGTGCCCTTTAAGACAATCACTACCTTCACTCTATTCCAGACAGTTTACTTGCTCATGTGCTTTGGCATAACATGGATTCCAATTGCTGGGGTCCTTTTCCCATTGTTGATTATGCTACTAGTCCCAGTGCGACAATACATACTCTCTAAATTTTTCAAAGTAGTCCATCTTCAAAACTTAGATGCAGCAGAATATGAAGAAGTCCCAGCTATAACTTGTAATATTTCGCTTGATGTAAGTGCTGCTATACTTATTTCTGTTAGATCATACAATAAATATGTTTACTCATCTAATGATCTTTTTGCATATCACAGGACCAAGATGCTCATACAAGAAATGATCATACAAATGGTGGGGAAGTTTTAGATGGTATCGTGACAAGAAGCCGTGGTGAGGTCCGTCATATATACAGTCCAAAAGTAACAAGTTCGACTCCATCTTCACAAGATGGAATAAGGCCCGTGTACAGCCCACGGGTGCCACATAGGGCATGCAGTCTCCATGAGAGTGAACTAAGGGCAGAGCGAAGTCCAAGGTTCAGTTTTAAGTGTCCAGATGCAAAGAAAACTCCTAGTCCTTAGCCATTAGTGCTTGGTAATGACTCTCATGGTTCAACATCAGTATAAAATCTAGATACTTAGTCCAGGTATGTTGTCAGTGATGCTCGAGAGGTCTCCTTTTAAGCTAATATAACTTAGGTGTTATCTCATAAATTAGTTGCTTTTCATTTTGTGAGCTGTGACAAAAACATATGCCATTCAGGTAGTACTGCCCCCTCTTGTGAGTTTTATCTCCAAAATATAGTTTTTAAGGACAAAAATATAATGAGAAATTTGTTTCCATTTCCTTAACATTTGGCTAAAAATGGTCCTCTTTTTCATATGTATGCATGAAGAGACTTGGTTCTTCTGGTATGGCCTAGTAGTGGATTATCTCTTAACTCATCCATTAATCATTTGGGATTTCTCTACATGACACTAAATATAGCTGAAATACACAATCTGCAGACCTGGATTTAACCAAATCAAAACAAGAAACTCAAGGTCTGACAAAACCATGGTCGGACAACCAGTTATAGTCGTAATAACAAAAGGAATTGGAAGAAATTAATATTTAATGTGGAAAAATAAAGAGGAAGAGAAGAAGAAATGAAGAGGGAGAGAAGAAGAAATACTTCTGTATTGRYAATGTGTTGAWAAAACATGTTGAGCATACAACTTAAATAAGAAAAGATAGGAGAGACAAACTCCTAGGATCTCTCTTAATTACTCCTAGAATATCTCTCAATTAGGGATTGATTAAAACTTTCCCTTAACCCTAGGATATGACTTTCCTAATTTTATTCAAATCTAATCTTTCCTAAATTTATTCAAATCTGTAATCAATCAAATCAAATCTTTCTAAATTTGCAGCAAATCATATCTTTCTTAATTTGCCGCAAATCATATCTTGTCGACATTTAATGCCATTTCAGATTTATGAAATCTTTCCATAATTCCGTCAGATACATAATCAACTCTATACCCCACCTACTCATTTTCATACTTCTGTCTATTTCTTGGAGGACCTAACTTATGCATGAATCACAATTTTTGAGCACTAGAAACTGGTATATTGTTCGGTACCACAATTATTGCATATGTTTAAATGATTCTAATGAACTCTCTTCTTTGGAAAAGTAGTTTTACAAATCGAAAAGTAAGATAGGACTTTCAAGTTCTTTGAGTTTTGAATAGTTTGAGCTAAATTTGATTATAGTTGAAAATGAAGGAAATATGGGTTCTCTACAATTGTAACAAAGAACTCCTAAACCCATGCATCACAATTGAAATCAATGTTTTAAAACACGGAGGCGTGATGCGAGGCGTTCCACTACCTAGGTGTGTGAGGCGTAGTTCAGAATGTAAGAGGCGTAAGCCTCCCGAGCACAATGAAGTGTAAGCCTACTTAAGAGGAGGGGCCAGGGGCAGACCACCTTCTTTCCCCTTATCTTTTCTTCCCTTCCCTTCCCTTTCCTTTCCTTTCCTTTTCTTTTCTTTTCTTTTCTTTTCTTTTCTCTTTTTTTTTTCTTCTCTTTCTTTCTTTTTCTTTCCCTTCCCTTCCCATTCTTTTCTTTTCTTTTCCTTTCCTTTCCTTTTTTTTTTTCTTGTTTTTCTGTCTTTTTATATGAGGTGTGCATGAGGTGCATGAGGCGTATGCCTCATGAAAAAAGCATTTGATTGCACCTGAAGTGTACACCTCAGAGGTGTCAGCGCCTCTGGCATATGCCTCAAGGCATTTTGCGAGTGGCTCGCTGCACCTCCCACGCCTTTTAAAACACTGATTGAAATGTTGACACACATGAGTACTTCCCACCATTTGTCATAGTAATCCTTTATCAAATTAGCAGGCGTGAATCCTCTCGTCGATTATGTTTTATCCAAGGTTATATTTTCTGTTAAGAGTGAGTTTACAAACTGTTTATTTTTGGGCCTTCAATTTGCACTAGAAAGCTCCATGCTACTGCATTTGTCAGTCTTACTTTTCATGGACAAAGTGTCATAATTTACTTTCCCTTGTCTTGTTGCAGATCGGTGCAACTTCTTATCCAGTAATATAATCATTTTTAATCTTGCATGTAAAAGTTTTACCACTCATTGATCTGAATATCCCCATTCCTTTGCACTCATTTCATTCATATTTGTTTCTTAGGTGCCTAACATCCAATACCAGTCTTATGGTGCCTACAAAACTTCATTTTTTATGATATGCATTGACAGCATTACACTTGAAGTCTTGAACTCTGATACTCAGATGGCTACATATTTCTAGTATGCCATGTCTGACATGATATGTACTAGATATTGGTACTTTTTATAATTCGGCCTGCCCTTGAGTCCTGTTAGTCTGATAACAGTCAAGAAGAGAGAAGAAGAAAGAAGAAAGAAGAAAGAAGAAAGAAAGAGAGAAAAGTTCTGGTTCGGATGAGAGCAAAGATTCACTCTCCCATTCGGCCAGATGTGTTTTATATTACTAACATAATGGAAAAGACACATGTGCCCCTACTTAAGTGAGGGACACTAGTTCTAACATAATCTTACACATCAGCAACCTCAGCATAAGCATAAAGACAGAAATACCCCTACATACTCAACACTAACAGTACTGAATACTATATGGACACTTTTAAAAGTAAACCTTATAGCATTAGCACCTTTGGAATATGCATTATGGCTTGTTTTAATAAATCATCCTTTTCAAAGTCTATATATGCTAGAAGTTTAATTAAATTTTCAGGATATTGAGAAATGGCATTTAGCTTAATATGTGTGTGTGTGTGTATATATATATGTCCATGCCATTATCTATATCTGGGAACCATAGCTTGAAGCATATCTCCTTGCCATTAGTAGTAACTCTATGGGCAGTATATTTCTCCTTCCCCATGAATAATTAGGAAAAGATACTGAAAGGTAATGCTTAGAGGAATCTCATTGCCATCAATCTTAATTAATTTTCTTTTCTAGCTTAATTTGCATTTACCCATTCTTTCTAGTGTAATAAATTACAACTGTTTTCAACAAGCAACTTGTACCATAGGACTTCTCTTATATTAACCTAGTTCTAATCCATGATTAGTTGAAAAGAATGTGAAATCAACATTGATCCTTGAGGTAAGGCAGAGCAAATAAACTTCTCTCCATCAAATTTTGTCATGCTATCAATTGCTTCTTTGTACATAACCATAATCATGTTGAGATACACAACCAGAACTTCTTTCCTTTTCAAATCCCACAAAGTATATCTAGAAACCATTATCGTGCGGCATTTATGAATAAGCATTGAAGGCATTTCTTCTCCCCAGATTTTTTCTTCAATACCTGAAAAGATAGACTTAGTAGTTTTCTCCCCTAGAATAAAGAAAATTTGATTTTTTTGGATAATCTCCTTTCATGTCTCTATGTTCAATTTATTCTTTTTTCAAAGTTTTATAACCTGATGATTGTCTTCAATCTATTTGTCTTGTATTACTAAATCTAAATGTAGGCAATATGGTGCCTTTCCCTCCTTCCACCTATAATTTTCATCATTTAGTTCTAATTTAATAACTCAGCCAGCCAAGTACACTATTCTTTCTTTGTGCATCTACAGACTTTCATTGGGATGGCAACTGCTCTTTCATGCCTTCTCATCTTCTTCTTTAGTAGAGCTTCTGTATTGGGATGCCACCGTGTAAGTTTTATATTGCACTAGCTCTATACCCAAAGACCAACTTAATTGGTAGCAAACTCCATCTTTACACCCATGAAAAGCCTTCAAAATAAGAGCCATATAAGGAATATAAGAGGTTGCATTTTTTGAAAACCACATATATGCACAGTACAAGAGCGCACGTATGTGTGAGAGCCTGGGAGGGGAAGGAGGGCTTGGTACATTCACATGGATGTGTGTCTTGGACTCTTTAATCTCTCAGATAAAAGTTGCTTGGTTACATGCCTTGCTCTACTATGGACTTAACCTGTATCACTGCAGGCTCTCTTTGGTAAGGTCAATGGGCCTTGTGTGCATTTTGCTGTCTTTAATCCCTTTGTAATGTGTAATAACTATTTAGGGGAAGACTTTTTTTTTTCCTTCTTCAATGCTTTTTAGCCCAACAAAGCGTTCTTATCTTCTCTAACTTTTTGTTAATTAGTGACAACTTGGGAGATGTCTTTAGGATAGTGAACCCAAGAGCGATAATTGAACAGCATTTAGAGTCTTATCTCACAATTGGGTTTCTGCATCAGAATCCAATCCAGGTGAGACTCCCTGGCTAGATGGGTAAACTGCTGTCGTCCCAACCAGCGGGCACTAATATCTTTGTAGTGAAGTGCCTGTCATGGATGGAGCCAAGTAATACTAACACGTTTCATTAAAATCGTACTAGTTTGTAATTAGGGGGACCAGTGTTGAATAAAGTCTGGCATCAGCATCCACAAACCTTATCCATGATCAGATTTCGTAGTTGCCAATTTGAACTTAATTACTGGTAGGCTGATAACCTAATGCCAACCCAATAATCAACTTATTGATTAAATCTATGTAGTCACGTTGTTTCTTAGCCCAAAAAAAAAAAATCTTTCTGACGCACAGAAACATCTGTGATTGAATAAAGCTTCTTGAATCACTAAGCTTTGAACATTAAATCTGACAGAACTCTCAGTAGTTGGCATACAGACTGAAAATCGTAGATTTCCTTTTGGTAATATCACTTGGGAGAGGATTAATAAACGAGCTTATGTCGGATGGGGAAGGGAATTGCGCATATCCTCATTCGAGGCTCACCTGCAACTCAATATTTGAATTGTCACGCACAATCTACAGAAGTAAACCCAGGTATTCGGGAATTGGGAATTGGGGCCTCCACGGTTCCACCCATTGGAGCAAGAGGTCGTCGGGCTATAACCAGAATGGTTTTTTTGGAGTGGTTTCCAAATAAAATGCGAACAAGTTCTTTTCTTCAAATCCTGAAGATGAAAACCTTTCTGGTTTTATCTTGACACTGGGAAATGGCATATTTAAAAGAGTTCGGATTGTTTAACTCTTCTGCTCACATTCACATAAACAACGGAAAAGGTGGAAAAAACGGTGAAATCATTTGCATTTTCACTTCAAGGTGACGTGATGGCATCTGAACATGATGTTGGAAGCTAAAAAATACATGATTTTGGTTTTTAGTGGCTTTAACAGACCCAATTTCTGGCCTTCCTTTTGGTCTTTCCGGCTGGTCAAGAGGTGTTTTTTTTTAATCTCTTGCCAAATGACAAAATGAGCGAATGAATTATGGCAAAATCTACAGTACATATGCTGCACCTGTAGCAAAAAACTTAAGTAGTTGAACCTTGAATGTCATGATAATTGCATCTTGTTAATTGTGAAAGTATACTCTATAAAACCTGAACCAATAAAAGTAAAAAAACTTTAATGTGATTGCATTAATAAAAACAATTTCAACTTTTTTTAATAATTGCAATTGACCCAACCACATGAATCTTGTTCCTCTATTCAACATAGCCATTGTCAAATCTCGGGTCCTTACATTATTTATTATTGATTCAATCCATGTTTTTATCTACCTTCAACTTTTTTTTTACATGGAAAAAAAAAAGGCAGAAAACAGAATGGAAAATCAGTTGATCTGAGAGGTCTTGAATTTATTTCGGATGCTGGTGTGTTTGCATTTCATCGGGATCGCATGCGACCACGGATGTAGTAGATTTTTGTTCACCAACTCCTCACCATCATCTCTAACATCAATTCTAATGTCAATAATAAAATGCTCTTTTTTTTTGCTGCAAATATAATAATAAAAATCTTTTTTCATCGGAAAAAAAAAACTATAAAATGCTTATCGTTTCGTTAATTGGAAGTTTTCTGAACCATTCATCAAAAAAGTATAAAAAAACGTAGGATAGAAATATGGCTCAGGTTTGCGGGGCAAATCAATGTTTCATGACATGATGACTCATGAGCGTTCTCCCTGTGGGCTGTGGGCCTGTGGGCCTGTGGCCCTGTAGCTCCAAACCGTTAACCGGCTGCAAGATAATGAATTCAGGTCGGAGTAGATATTGGGGTGGCATCATCATCATGCACCAGTAGTCCGATTCCAATACCACCTGGAACATGACCAAATTATTTCTGAATCGACGTATGAACCCATTCTAAGATCAAATCATCGTGAACTCAGGATACCTTTTGCCAGCGATTTCTGGACTGCTGAAGATCCTCAGTATCAGTGTTGGTAATTGGGTCTTTCACAGTCACAAGACTCAAGTATCAACTTTCCATTATAGATAGAGAGGATGAGACCTCAAATAGTCTTATTTGGCGATTCGATCACTGAGCAATCATTCAGACCAGGTGGATGGGGAGCAGCTCTTGCTGATACTTACTCTCGAAAGGTTCTCCTTGCTTATGCTTTTATTACCATCTTCGTTTCTTGTTCCTATTTTTCGTGTATATTTTGTTCCAAACGTGGAATACTGCAGTTTCTATTTATTCTTCCATGTGTCAGATTCTTCTTCTTCCAACCCATTTTATAAGAAACGTCTTTTTATTCATTTATTCAATTTTAATTTCCTCCGTCTTTCATGATTGTTTTTAGGTATAATGCTTTCCTAGTACCTTAGAAATGGTCACTGACTCACTGCAATTCTTTCTTCTTCTTTTTTTTTTTTTTTTCTTTATGGGCAGGCTGACGTTATTGTTCGTGGGTATGGTGGATACAACACTAGATGGGCATTGTTCTTATTAAATCACCTTATCCCGCTTGTAAGATTTAAACTTGTTTCTTTTCTTTACTCTCCATTTATCCTTTGTTTTTTTTTTATTTATGGAGCTAAATTTGTAATTACTTTTCCTGTGTTTGTTTGCATTTATATTTGGAAATCCTTCATGAATGATGTATCTCTGAATTTCTGTGTTAGATCGGACTAGGGAATTTGAAATGGATGTGTTTGTTAATAAAGTAGGGGATTGTGAAATGCAATTTTGTAGTGGGTTCTGAAGTGCAGGAGTGGAAGTTTGTCTGTTGTTAATAGCTAGTTTTAATATTTGTTATTCATACTCGTTATATATTCCCATGGCTAGCATGATGGAGACACATGGCTAGTCTCTGTACGATATGATAATACTTTCTGTGCCATCCAGAATGTCAGTATTTTTACTTTTCCAGTTTATTAATGGGTGTTTTTGTTTCTTATTATCAATTTATATGATTATTTCTCTACGTATGACCTTATGATAGAAATTTCAAAGCCTGGATTTTTTTCTTATGGCCAACAATGCTGTTTCCCCCAATTATAGGTTTGGGACTTTGGGTGTTGAATGTGACAGAAAATGGAACTGGCATTCGAGTGGCATGCCTAACTCTAGAAACGTATACGTGGTTCAGGTTAGCTGTTATGATTCTTTTGGTAAAACCTTTACATACTGAAAGAGTACAATGTGAGAATCCTTTAGAAATTTAAAGTAACAGAAACAACATAAAGTTCATTTTTGGTTAACATGCATATACGGTGGTGGACATGGAAAGTGTATAGGAACACAATAACGAGTCCCTGAAACCATGAAAAAAAGAAGAAGAACCTGGAACTTAGTAAAGGTTAAATCTTGAGATGTAATGAAGCTACTGGCTTGTAAGTTGTAAGCTTCAGCTGCTTATTGTAAGAGGAAGAAGAAGAGTTAACCTGATGAGTTGGTAGTAAAGAAAATTAAACTACACATTATGGAGTCCCATTATGAAACATATGCATACATGAAATGGTTAGACCTTGGGCTGACAAGCATGAGAATGCGGGCTTGAGTCTGAAAGCGGCCACTTTGGTCCGAAATGTGCCAAAGGTTAGGTCTGTATCAATTCCAGTCCACCCCTCCCAAGACTACTCTGGGTCTCCTACAGTCCTACCTACAAACTCCACATCTTTACCCACAGGACGCTAATGCCGTATATTGAGAACATCTCCCCATGAATGACAAAGGAGATATTCCCAATGCATGCCTGCAGTGTCTGGTGGCTATGGATGTGGGAACAATTTGTGGGTAGGGATCTGAGCTCTCCCAAGACCCTGGCCCCAAATAGCTGGGACCAACATTGGGTGCCTTTATGTATGCATACACGCATATAGCCACATCTTTGTGCATTTTTTGTTGTTGTTAAACAAAAAAGGAATATATATTGGCTAAAACAGATTAAATTTTATGACATGTATTTTTGCACATTCTGAAACAGATGAAGGTAGGCATATTTAATCTAACATGCTAAAAATCTTTTAGGGAATTGTATAAGGCATATGAACTTCATCATGAACAAACTAGAAAGGTTTACGATTATTTTTTTAATGATTGTTTATGGTATCTTCTCCGGATTTGTTGTGTTGTGAATGCAAGATTGTAGTCTTCTAGATATACTGGTATATAATATGTGCCTGATATGTGTACACCATATGAAAAGAGTTTCAGGGATTGGTACTTGTTATATTGCCAAGCTCTACCTTTCTAATATTCTTCTTGAAGCACCTCACTACATACACTAGATTTCAATTGAAATCATCAACAGAATTAACATGGAACCATATGACAGTGGCTTAACTAATTACTATCATACCTTTTGCCATTTATCTATAAAATTCAGCCAGTAGATGTCCTTAGAATTCCAGACTTTGATCAATGGCCCTTTCTATGAATCTGATCAATATTTTCATCTCCTAAAATATTTATGCATTTCTGGTACTATAGCCATCTTAAAAAAACATTCCTTCAGTCTGATTAGTAGGTGTCACAGAACATTCAAGAAACATACTTCCACTACATTCTCTCTTCAATCATAGATCACATAGGAAACATCTCCACACTTTAATGATCCTGGGACTTCAGTTGTCAGTGTAAATTTAAATAGTAATTGGGCTTGTGTTCTCTGGTTCTACCAGAATAGATCTTTCAAACGATGGTGGGTAGTGGATTCAATTTAGTGGAAAATAAGGCTTTCCTCAAGGTCAAAAGTTGGAAGTTTATCAGGTCATGTGATCGACGTAATCCATTGGGCAAATGAAGGGGGAGTTCATAGAGTAACTGATTCAATACATCACATCAAAGAGCTGGTTACTGATGGTACAAAAGCTAATTCTTTTTAGTATACTAAAAGTGTAATGGTTTTACACACACATTGGCTAAAGGTTTATTTAGAGTTTCTTTGTAATATAAAACATCTTTTACTTAACCAGTTCTACTTTAGTTGAGTTTCCTTACAAGTAAAAGATTTCACCCTTTTTTACTTGTTGGCTCATTCCAAGGTTCTTAAGTGTGTCTTTATCTCCTTTCTTCTTTGTAGGGCTGTACAAAGCCTCCTGTTGCCACTATCATTTTCTTTGGAGCTAATGATGCGGCCCTTTTGGGGAGGAACAATGAACGACAACATGTGCCTGTTGAAGAGTATGAGGAGAATATCAGAAGAATTGTCAATCACCTAAAGGTTCAAAATGATTTCATTAGTATTTTAAAACATTCTATCATTACCAGCTGTTATATACTTTTAATCAGGGCTAGTCTTTTGCTTCTATGTTGGATGCAAAAGTTTCAGGGACTGTATATTCTACACACCATGCATTAATTAGATGCCTGAGTTGTAGTGAAGAATCTTAACCATCCAAGAAGACCATACATAAGCAAAGAGTTTGATGAAAAATGAAGCTGAATTAGTAGTCTAATAGAGGGAAAAATGAAAAACACCAAATACTTAATTATCTAACAAGATGGCCAATACAATGGATAATTAGGAATCACAGGGTTGCCCATTTGCTAAGCTATATTACCTGGATATGCCAGGGAAACAACTTGACAATCTAAGTATCTGACATGATACAATGCATTTGTATTGGTATTTGAGAATCATAATTTGTAAGAAACTTGGCTTTGCTAACAAGTTTACCGAGTAATTGAATGATCTGGAGTGATTAATCGGAGGTTGAGGTAAGCAATATGAAGCCCCCCCACCCCTCCCACCTGTATGAACACATGTATGTAGGCAAGGAGTTTATTGGATAGTGAGATTGCTGAGAAAATGCGGGTTCTCAACCCAGTCTGTTGTACAACTGTCAGGCTAATCCTTAGTTGACAGGTTTTGTTTACTTTGAATTAATCTAAATATATTACCTGGATAGTGAAACTGCTGAACAGATACGTCAATTTTTGGTTTAAATTCCATGTCTGATACCATGTCTAGCTATGCCCTTCCCATATCCGCATAATCCCAAGTGAATATATGAAAATAAGTAAGCGGCACTTCATTTTACTTTGGGTCTTCAATAATAGCTTATTAATCTTACTATAGTCAGTTTTTATCTTGTACTTATTTTCACTTATTAAGCTGTCTCTCAAAACATTTATTTGCAGGAATATTCTCCCACCATGCTGGTAGTGCTCATAACTCCACCCCCGGTTAATGAGGAAGGGCGCAAAGAATATGCACGGTTTGGTTCTTTCTGATTTTGTTGCATCCAAAGCCATAGTTATATTTCAAGTATAAAAAGAATTTGATTTGAGGGAAGACATGAATTGATCATGAAGTTCCTATAAGAAAAACTAATAATTCATATGCAGACCAGGTGGAGTGATTCGCATACCAATCTGTTCTCTCTTTCTCTCTCTGTCTCTCTTCCTTTCTTTTCTTTTCTTTTTTAATCTTCTTGTCTGTCTTCCACACCCAGACTCAGAGACTTTCCCATTGAACAACTTTTTTACCTTTTCTGCTTGAAATATGATCCAAAATTCTATCACCTAGGTTTAATGCCTTTCTGCACTTCAATGTTGTATTTTCAAAAGTAAGCATGATCTGCCATTTCATTAGTAGAATGGACTGGTGAAACAGAACTCGTATAGATGGCCCCATGTAGTGGGGATAAGGCTTGGATGATGATGATGCTTGATCTGTGCCAGTAACTATAAATAAAGTGCTTGATTCTTAGTTATAAAAGCAGAATTCAGAGCTTCTTGTATTTCTTCCATTATTTGTTCCATGTGGCATGTTTTATAGTTTTGTAACTGAATCATGTGGTATAGATCTGTATATGGTGAGAAAGCTGTGGATCTACCAGAAAGGACGAATGAAATGGCAGGAGTGTATGCAAAGCTGTGTGTTGAACTAGCAAAGGAGCTTGGTCTTTCCTCCATCAATTTATGGTCCAAGATGCAGGAAACAGAGGGGTGGGAAAAGAAATTTCTAAGGTCAGTGAGATGTAAAGCCTTTTTTGTCTGTTGTAAGGTATTAAGGCTGTCATACTCAGGTCTGTTTAGTCAATAGTCACATGGACCTTTTGAGAGGCCTATGCCCTCCATGGTTTGGCTTGTCAACACTGTTTGATCACTAGAAGGGACCATTGCTTGGTGTGGTGGTAAAATGTAAAAGAGAAATAAAGGCATTTTACAAGTTACAAGCACAACTAAGTGCAAGGAATTCCTAGAGCCTTGGATGCAAGATACAAAGCGAGGCACTCAACTGAATGAAGTGAGGTTCAACATTTGAATAAAAATCAAATGAAAAGCTAAATGTACAAAGAAATCATATTAAATTCTAAAAGAAATAAAATATTTTAGAAATTTATTAACTCAATTGGTTAGAGCATCCTATTATCAACACTGAAGATTGTAAGTCGTAACCTTGTACATTCAAGTCCCACATAACTACATAAGTTAAATAATTCAAACTTTTTTTTTCTTTGAAAAAGGTAATGAAGGAATTACCTTTTTCAAACTCTAAACATCACAGATGCTACAATAGTTCAGCATTACATTAAAGGTTGATTCATCAAAATATAAATAATGGTCCGTGCCTATGAGTCTAAGTGCTGCTCTTTAAAACTGATTCCCATGAAACAGTTGTATTCATTTTCACTTTCAAAGTTATGAACTCTTAAAATGTCAAAGAGAAAGAAATGAAAGAATAATGGAGCGAGCAAGGTTTAGGTGAATGCTTTAGCTGTTCAGTGGGCTGTGAAACCAATGATAAGGTTCCACGCCAGTATTTAAATACATGGGGCCTGCATCTTTACAGTGGGGCCCATGAATTTATTACTGGCGTGGAACCTCATCATTGGTTCCACAGCCAGCTGAACAGCTAAAGCGTTCAGCTAATCCGAATTCTAATGGAGCATAATAAGAACAGAGAATTGGATTGCCCCCTCCCTTTCTCTCATGAGGCGAGGTCCCTGCCACTTAGTTTTATTTCATCGCATATTTGCAGTTGCATTTCTTTCTTTTATTAGGAGATCATAAGATTACCTAGTATGTCAAGTTGTCAACTTTCTGAACCCTTTTTTTGATTGATTGAACTGATAGAACTAATAAATCCTGTTTAGAAACAAGTTGATATGAATGAAAAAATTCAAAGGGAGCATATTACATCGAGATTGAATTTAACTTTTTAGATTTCTATACAAAACTGGAAATCATACTTAAAGTCATTTTATCATAATTCACTTAATTAGTTGGTGGTTTTATTTGTTTATCAGGAAGAAATTATTAAATTACTGATTTTCTGCTCATTTTTTTATTTGTTTGGTCCTTGTCAGTGATGGATTGCATCTGACTGAAGAAGGCAATGCAATTTTGCACCAAGAAGTGGTGAGAGTGTTCAATGAAGCATGGCTTTGTGCTTCAGAAATGCCATATGATTTTCCTCACCATTCTGAAATTGATTGGAGGAATCCGGAGAATGCTTTCCAACAGAGGTGCTGATAGTTTTTTTGCCTTTTTTGTGTCATTTGATTCCACTGTATAGAAGTTTTTGAATTTAGGCATCTGGTCCTGCTATTCCTAGAACTCAGGTGCGTATTAAATTTGACTTTTGAGTTGATATTGAAAAATATCAAGATGTCAATTCCATGTGGCCTGATTTTTTTTACCAATTTCTGTGATGGCCATTATGTGGGTATGTGACTGAGGCTTCGTAGTAGGTAAGGAGGTTTTGCTAAGAGCTATCAAAGGTTGTGGTTTAACCAAACACCTTCAACATCAACAATGGATCTGCCTAGCGACCCATACACCCCATCGCTATCACATACAACAGATATGGGCTTTGTAGGATTCAGGTTCTTGGTTCGGAGTTGAGAATTTCATGAGTACGCATACCCATTCATGGATCCAAAATGTCTAAACTTATTATTCAAAGATTGTAGTTCAATGGTTCATGTATGGTAGGGTATATGTTTAAAACCTTTAGATTCAAATGGCGCTTAATTATAGTATCTCCGTGCCAAATTTCTATGCAAATAGTTGACAACATTATTATTATTATTTTTTATGGCCAAAAACATGGATCATTTAAAGAAACCAACTTCTAAAAAAGTTACATTCGAGGCCCCGTTTGGTATTTTCTTTGCAAGAATACCATTCCGATTCCAACTCTTTGGTTGGGCAGAATTGGAATCCCATTCTCATTCCTGTTGGAATGACATTCCTCTGTTTGAGGGAATGGCCATTCCTTGCCCTTCCTTGGGAATGAAATTTCATTCCTGTTGACTCCCATTTCCATTCTCATTCCCCCATTCTGGCAGGAATGAAAATGGGATTCCGATTCTACCCAGCCAAACAGTTGGAATCGGAATAGCTCATTCTGATTCCGATTCTAAACCCTTATTCCCACAAACTTAACGGGGCCTAAGTTTTTCAGCTATGGATGATTATTGGTGATTTCTAACAATTAGGTTCTAAGTAATTTTTGTCAGTTATGAAATTTATTTTGTTTCAAGCGTGTGGGTGGTACCAATGTTGTCAGATTATCAGATAGAAAATGGGGGTTCTCGGTCACCATTTTTATCCAAAAAAGATTGGCTGTGTTTCCTATCACCGCCATCTTTTCAAGCAATGACCAAGCCATGGAATTCGGTTAAGTTACTCTGGATTTTGTGCATATTTTATATTGTTATTTGGTGTCAAACTGTCAATTAAGTATCATTAGTTGTTACATACGCTAAAAGGAGAAAATATTATTTCCATTGCAATAAACATCAAAATGCCGAATTCTCTAAACGTGGCTTTCACGAAACTCAAAGCATCCAATGTTGTTTGAAACAACTTGAAAACGTTCAACCAAACAAGAAAAAATGAAAGAGCAAAATCTGGCAGAAACACCTTGGATAAATGACTCCATTGTCGAACACCATCCAGATCATCGGGTGACCAATTCAACCATCGGAAGTGGTTCTATCTGACAATACTAAACTAAGCTGTACAAGCACCCACGATCCTATGCAAAGGACCAGCGGCAACCATTTGGTTGGAACGAAGATTTCCTACTCATTTTTTTCTACCCACACATTACCCGCCGTGAATTGCAGTCACACATTTCACAACTCAAGACTGCAATTCATGGGGGATAGATTGTGGGTAGAGAGTAGTGGGCAGCAAATCCGCTTTGGTTTGGTTGAGGCGTTGAGCCCTATAACGCACAAGGGTCATCTTATTGGTTAAGTACGCTGTTCATGTACAAGAAGTAGACACCTTAAGCTACATAAACATTTTTATTTTTTGAAAATTTTAATTGCTTTAGAGCTGCTAATAAAGGATTAATTTAATGCATGTTTCATAACTGTCTGATCTTAGGATTAATTATGTAATAAAATTGACAGATTTTAAGTTTGTTTCTTTGACATGAAACACCCCGAGTAATGAAGGTGTTGATGTGTAATATTGAATCCAGGGATCAATGCGAACTAACTGAGGCATTAATCTAGCAAACTAGATCAGGGTTTTAAATTATTGGAGCAAAATATGAATGATATATAAAACAGAGAGCTTTCAAGTTTTAAGAATTAAGATTTCAGTTGCAAAACTATTCCTACGTATTAATTTGTTTAATTCACTAATTGCCTTTTAATTAATTCTATCTGAATCCAAAATAATATTAATAGGTAGGGATCAAAATTCACACAGATTCTTCCTTTTGGCTATTCTTTTCATTGATATTTAATTGTTCATCTTATGAGAAAAAAAAGTGGAAAATAATGTCCAGAAGGCTCAGTTTGGAAGTACAAACACAAATATGTAGAGTGCAAAATCTTACATTTTGTATTATTTTATATGTATTTGTACTGTATATATTTGTATTCGTACGTACTCCTTTCAAATTGAGCCAAAATGTCTGCTTCGCAATGCTTTTTATAGATGCATTCAGGAAAGTATTGATACATCTTGATATGTCGAAATTAGTGTATTGATACTATCCATACTCTACCAATATGATGGAGGCTGGAGCATATCATGTTAAAATTTTGAACCTTGGATAGGGGCAGAGATAGGGGGAGCCATGGCCCCCCTATGGTTTAGAAATCCCTACTTGTGTTTGTAAATTTCCCCTTCCCTCTACTCCCCACCCCAATAGTCCCCTTCCCCCATATGGCCCATCGATATTTACTTATTCGCCCCCCCCACACCAAATCAAAACTTTCTTTGAAAGCAAAGTGTAGTTAGCTAGAGCGGAGATGCAGAGTCCGGATCTGCTCCTCACATGGTGTGCCTCACAGTATGTCCTGGCCGCACATCGAAAATATCTTCTGTACTTGTATTTATTATTTATGAGAGATGTTCTCAATACAGAGTGAAATGTGGGTGTGAGGTTCGCTCTGTGAGGAATAGATTCCAATTCAGAGATGCAACTATCTGAATCCATAATTCCATATCCATATCTAGTGGATTTGGATCTTTCTATAAATCCCGTATGGGCTACTATAGATCTAACCCAAGACTAGGAATGGCAACGAGGCGGGTTCGGGGTGGGGATTACATTCTCCATCCCCGGCCCTGACCCTTAAATCACCTCCATCCCTGTTCCCGATCCTTGGCGAGGAAAGGAATCCCCCCTCCATCCCCAACCCCAACGGGGAATTCATCTCCATCGGAGACCTGAATCCCCGACGAACTGGAGACAGAGAGTTTGAGTCTCTGAGAGACTTAGAATGAGAGTCAGAGAGAGAGAGAGAGAGAGAGAGGAGAGAGAGAGAGAGGACCATTGCGACTTGTGAGAGCTGAGGTCGGCGATGAGAAAGAATCCGAAGGGCGAGGCGATGGCGACGGCGGTTGGCGATGATGACGAAGGTTGAAGGAAGATTATAGAACTGAAACTCTTCTTTGAGTATCTCTTCTTCGTCCTCTGTTGAGACTCGAGTATCTCTATCCTCTGTCCGGTGTTCGACGACGACGGGCGAGTGGCGATAGTCAGCAACGGCGGCCGGTGGTCGATGAATCGGCAACGAAGACAAACTAACGAAGGAAGACGAAGCTAGGGTTATGTCGAAGACTCAAAGTCGAAGGGTTTTACTATCGAGTCATCGAGTGTTTTATTGTTTAAGTGTTTTACTTTTTTTAAGTTTTAATCTTTTAAAAAACAAATAATGATTATTATAATATATAATTATATATATTAATCGGGGATTCAGGGTAGCCCCATCCCCGACCTCGCCAAGATACCCCCCATCCCCGACCCCGTTAGATCGGGGAGCCCGGGTACCCGTCGGGGACGGGGAAAATTGCTACCCCTACCCAAGACTCCCGAATGCATAAATGGGCTGGGTGTGAACCCGGCAACCCGCCTCAATCGATCGGTTAGGGATTATAGACACGATTAGAGTGGACCGGGCCAACTCGCCCGACTGGAATGGATCTTGGACTCCACGATCTTGGACTCCACTATGTCTTTAACAGCATATTCATATTGTCTAATGCAGCAGTGACCAGTGAGCGGATTATTCCTCGGAAGAAATTCAATTTCAGTTGAATGTTAATTTTGAAAATAATCACTAATCAGGTCTCTGTTAAATAAGAATAAGGTCAAAATAGTCATTATAGTTACCAATAAGAGGGTCAAAATTGTCATTTAGATATGTTGAAGGCCCTAAAAAGTTTTTTTGTAGTCGAACCTTGTTCTTTTACGTCCATTCTTTACATTTCCCTACAGTTCCGCCGCAATGACCTTAGAGTTAATATCGACCTATAAAAATCTGCCACGTGTACTATTTTTTGACTGAAGACTTTCTAAAATTAGAAACTTTTCTGACATGCAATCATTACCGCCTTTATTTTCCCTTGGCACTACTACTTGAGGGAAGCTTAACAGTCACAATTAATAAGTAATGCTAACCGTCCGATCAATCCTTTAATCAACGGTCACAGTTCCCCTGGAAATCAATGTCATCCTCTCTCTTACTACTAATATCAGAAAACCGCAGAGCACCACATGGTAATACCATTCTACTCTCTCTCTCCCTGAGTTTCTGTTGTTCTCTATCTGTCCCTTTCATGGAGTTTGAAACAACCTACAGAGATGATCTTGCTCTGCGGCCGGTATCTTGGTCGGAGAATTGCTTGGAACCCCATCTTGGAGATGGGTTTTCTCTAGAGGTTTCCTCGTCAACAGGATATTTTCAAGAGCTTTGGAAATTTGTTGATGGATCATCATCAGACACGGAATTTGGGTTCTCCACTTTATTTTTTGATCATTTGGAAGCGATAGCAAGTGGGTATTCGACAGTTTTGGATGTTTACAAGCCTAAGCCTATTACAGAAGATTGTGGAAATGGGATCATGGAGATATTTCAGAATACAGGCTTATTGAGTTATACTCAGAGAACTCCGGAAACCACTGTGATAGAACTGGATAGAAGCCATCTGTTCCTGCAGCGAATTGAATCGCCTAACTCTGGGCTGCCAGATGAGATTTCATGTATAACTTGGGAGAATGGACCATACAAGGAAGTTGGGTTAAAGAAGAGGAGTGTGGCAATGAGAAAGGCAGGAAAATTTCAAAAGAGAAAGAACGTAGTTAAAGGGCAGTGGAGCACTGAAGAAGACAGGTAGGAAATATTCTATTCACTTGTATTTGTTAATTGAATTTCTTGAAAATAAGCAGTAGTCTGAGTTTCCATCTTTTGATGTTACTTTGTTGGATTTAGAAGTAGAATCACTGATCATGTAAATATGCATTTGCAGCAAACTAGTCGACTTGGTAAAGGAGTATGGGATGAAAAAATGGTCTTATATTGCTGAGAGGTTGGAGGGCAGGAAAGGAAAGCAATGCCGAGAGAGATGGTACAACCATTTAAGGCCTGACATTAAGGTTCTTTCATTCTCTCATTCATCAAATTTTCTGCATGTGGAGGTCTATATATCTAATAACTGATGGTTGAATTTTAATTATTTGCAGAAGGATGGATGGACTGAAGAAGAGGACACGGTTCTAATCCAGGCCCATGCAGAATTAGGAAACAAATGGGCAGAGATTGCGAAGAGGTTGCCAGGAAGAACAGAAAACTCTATAAAGAACCACTGGAATGCAACAAAAAGAAGACTGCTTTCAAAGAGACGATGCCGAAGCTCGAAATGTTCAAAATCAAATTCCCTCCTACAGAACTACATCAAGAGTTTGAGTAGTACTGCAGTATCAACCGGGCCGGATGAATACCTACAGAACATGTTCACCGACTCATCAAACGCATCAGTTCATACTACGATGGAACCAACAACTCAACTGCAGAGCACAGATTTTTGTCCAGGTGATGATCCACCGGTCCCAAGTGATGATTCTAATGATGCATCGGAATTTTCTTTTGCTACGACATTATTTTCAGTGGAACACGGTATTGAGTCTTTGTTTCAGGAAATATCGTGTGCAACAGTTCTGGACAAGCAACATTTGGATATGGGTGATATGGCTTTAGATATGATTACTCTAATGGATGGTGAAGTGAAGAGGGAAATGGATTTGTTGGAGATGATCGCTCAAAGCAACCCCATTTAGATATCACCATTGCAATATAAATTTCGAGCTACGTTCTCTCTAGGGATTAAACTGCAGCATTATTGCTGGAAAAATAAAGAGATTAGTAGTATTAGCTTGGAAGGTTATATTTTATGTTACTTTAGAATTTATAATTTAGAGCAAAAGCAAGGAGACATTAATGGGTTGGTAATGCTAAAGAAATAGGAAGATAGGATATGGAGATATCATCTCCACGCCCTGATGACCAGTGAAGCTTAAACCATGCAAGCCATCGTATAAATTAGTGAATGGAGATTTTTTTTTCATCTATTTCTGCTTATGATATTCATGAATTCTCTGTTACAATGTTCTATCATTTTGTAGCTTTCTTCTTTTTTATTTGGCTATGAAGGTGCCAGTAAAAATTGGCGTGGTTTAAGTGCTTAAATTAAGATTTACAGATCTTAATTTGTCATTAATTATTTATTGAAGTACATAAATGTGTAATTTATTAGTATTAAAGACTATGAATAGGATTCCATGCATTATTTTGCTTTTTAAGGCCTTCCATTAGCATTTCGGATTCCAAATGGAAAAATTGAGGGTGTTGGAACTTGGAAGCATCCCACTCTTGAATTTTTTACGCGGTGATCATTTGTGACCAATGGAAACCACCCGATTGATTGAATTCTGGGTGGTCCACTATAATATCTACTCCTCATCTTCTGTCCACAAGAATCTTACCCACGTCTACCCACAACACACTATCCCGTGAATTGGGAATATCTCCCCGCTCATAATACTACATAAAAGGATGAAATATTTTCCATATGTGGTTGCGATATTATGTGGGTAGACGTGAGCAGAATTCCTGTGGGCGAGATTCGACTCCACTATATCCTGGTTTGAGGGCATCCATCATATCACCATGTAATGATTTGCCGATGCTGAACTAAAATAAATAAACAAAAAGGCATTCTAAACTGATGTGAATGCCAAGTTACGGTTTTCCAAGTATCAAGTTTTTTCTTTTTTTAGAAAAAAAAGCTTAATTAAAAGATTAAAATACAAAATAAAGCCAAAATCACACTCATAAAACAAGTATATTTAAAATTAGGGAAAATTCTCATTCAGTACCCAAACTTTCAAAATGTGACAACCCAGTACTTGCCGTTAACCAGTCCGTTAATCAACTGTTAAGCAACATTTGAAAAGTCAAAAATGCCCTAAGAATGCAATATAATTCTCTTTATCAACCATTCAAACATTGACAATAAAATAAACAGTTCTAAATTATAGATTCTTCTAAACAGTCACCAACCTTTTTGAATAGATCATGAAGAGGCTAGGAATAGGATTTGGGATTGTTCAGTTTTTTTGTCAACGTTTGGATGGTTGATAAAGAGAATTAGATGGCATTCAAAGGGCAATTTTGACTTTTCAGATGTCACTTAACGATTGATTAACGGACTGGTTAATGGCATGTACTGGATTGTCACATTTTGAAAGTTTGAGTACTAGATTGTCACATTTTGAAAGTCCGACCACTAGATTGTCGCATTTTAAAATTCGGGTACCAAATTGTCACTCGAGCCAAGTACAGGGTATTGATTGGGAATTTTCCCTTAAAATTAAACCTAACTCTAACAATGCAACATATCTCTTATCTTCTAAATACTTGGACAGACAAGGGAAACCCTTAAACTCACAAAAAGAAACCAAACCATGACTAGTCAAGATGTGGCTTGACCTATTATAACTAAGGTTCAAAGTATCGTTACGTATCGGCCCATATCGGCCGATACATATCGTTCAGGGACCCTTTTGATACGCCCCTACAATGGGTGTATCGGGGGTCTGATTGGTTCAGGGGATGGAGGGGTCCTAGGCCGGCTCCCCTGAACCAATTTTTAAAAAAAAAATAAAAAATAAGTATCAAAATGCCTGATACGCCCCTACCGACGTATTGGGTGTATCTATATTTTGAACCTTGATTATAAGTTTTAAAGGCAGAAACTTCCAAGTTTGCACAATCTTAACAACATCTAATAGGAACAGTCTCCTTTTAATGCATAATCAACCAAGTGGCGAGTTCGAGACTGTATGTGTGATCTAGGCCCTCCAAATGATATATTAAGATCAAATGAATCAATGATTCAGTCATTCCACCTGGTGGTGCCAAGATGAATCAATAGATGTGGATCCTACTACTGGTGTCCAAAGATCAAAGCTACAAAAAAGCATTCTTTGTATCTTTTTCTCTTCCCTTTGTTCCTTTTTATTAACAAAAGATGCTCAGTTTTTAGACATGCTTTTTCAACAATACGCTCCATATAAGATCATTTGATCTTATAAACTAGTAAGTTGCAGCTTACAATAAAAAATTTTCCTTTCAATTCTGTTGGTTTTGGTATTTCATTGATCATAGAATCCCCCTGCTCTAATCATCTCGTCAGCCATATGAGATGTTATTGGAGTGTCTCCTCACAGAAAATGGTCCTCACACCCACCTTAAAGCACGTTGCATTTGGATCATCTCCCATACTAATATGCTTTCATTCACGGGGAGATGTTCTAAATACACGACTGCAAGTGCTGTGAGATAAGTGTGACATTTCTATGAGTAAATCTGGTCATCCAAAATCTTATTACCATATCATCATCATTATCATCCAACCCTTATCCCATCTATATGGGGTCATCTACATACCCCTCCTGCTGTCAAAGATAGGGATGCAAATGAATTGACTCAGGTTTGAATCAAAGTATATCCGAATCCGATCCGATAGCACATATTGAAGATCCAATCTGATCGGATCTCACATATGATGGTTTGGATATGATCCGATCATATTCAAATTCTGAAAATTTTAATAAATTATTAAAAGAAAAAACATAACAATTTATATAAAGAATGCAATATAAATATATATATAGAGAGAGAGATTAGATAGGATAGGGGTGATCCGAATCCAATCGGATTTTTCAACCGAACCCTATTATCCGATCCAAAAAATCAGATAGAGGATGACGAGAATCCGAAACAAATAGGATCAGATTCAAATTGGCTCGGATCACGATCCAATCCATTTGCACCCCAGTCAAAGACTGAATGGAAGTGCACGTCAAGTGCTGCACAAAAAAAGTGCAACAAATTCCATTCCAATTTCCGAAGGAGAGTCAGAGAGGATTTCAAATTGATTAGCAGACGCTGATCGAAGATGTAAACCAGTAAGGGATTTCAAACATTTAATAATAGTATAATACTATGCCATAAATTAGAGTTCGTGTGCCCTGTCTGCTCAGCTGTCGGCTATCCCAGACCCAGACAGTTCGGACCACTCGTAGTTCTAGTGTTCTACGATCAAACATTAACCAGTGTGTATTTTTTCTATCTGAATCCCGAAAGCAGTCCCCAAGAAAACACACTTTTTTTAAGCCCAAGAAAACACATTTATTCCACCCAAAAGGTGAGCTACAGAACAAGTAAAATATGAAGGAGACGAATACAAGATTCAACTCTCCCAGGCTTAGCACATCTGCCGCTGGAAAATTTGTACTCAGGAGCGGCAAAAAAATAAAATTATCCCTATAATGAGATTTCTGCCTGACCTAAAAGGCTAAAACTAACAATTAGAAACATTGAGATGGATTTATACCCAACAAAGTTAACACATTTTCTCCACAAAGAAAGGAGAAAAACAGCATCATGCTGTTTTTGACTTCGGCTTTATCCGCTTCACTCTTGAATACAAGAATACTCCAGCAAGAGCCACCCCAGTACCTGCAGTAACATCCAACCATTGGCAAAAAAAGACAGGATGTAAGAATAATGAGAGGGTTTAGAGTTGATCGCACCCAAGATATGACAAAGAGTTTACCAAGAGAATTGATGGGAGAGACAGGTGTTCCGAAGAAGAGAACCGAGGTCACAATGACCACCACCCGCTTCACACAATTGCCCACAGAGTGGGTAACAGGAGATACCCTTTGTAATATCATGTAAGATACCTGCCAGATTCGAACTGATTAAATCAGAACATTTCAATGACGAGTGAATCACAAAAATTTTAACTGTTCTTTTCTTGTAAAGTAGAAGTGTTAACTTTGCTCATTCTTATGGTAAGCTACTACGATAAAAGGTGATCGTATTCATAGATCTATACAAGGTTTGGAGCTCATGTGTCCCTTCAGATGTAGCATTTACGGTGTGGACTGCTTTACTTAGGAAATGTCTCACAAGGACCAGCCAATCAGACAAGGAATGCCACTAGCTGATGACCAATATATTGTGCAAATTGGCTGACGAATGTACTTGGCACCTCCTTATTCTCTGTGATATCAGCTGAGATACTGTGTGCTTATTTTTAAAAATGTGTGGGGTCTATTAGGTCTTCCCAACAACAATTAGAGACTTATTTACTTGCAACTAAAGAATTTGATCACCAGGGGCAAATCTATGTGCAACTTTCCCTACACAATCTTCTGGACAGTATGGAAAAAGAAAAGAACATGCGTATCTTTGAAAACTGAAGCACCCAAAATTAGTGCCAAGGTCATAGGGACAACATGCTCATGACTATCTGCATTTAAAAAGAACTCAGGAAATACATTGCTTTTTTACTACAACACATTGTATATGATAAATATAGTCTTCTTTGTTTTTTCTTTCCTGGTCGGCATCTCTGGGCTGGGTGTATAGATCCTGATTGTACATAGTCCACACTTGTAATCCTGTTCTTGTTGATTATCTTCAGATAATACATATGCTTGATACTTGATTTTCCTTAAAAAGAAGGGTGTTCAGTTGTTCACCATAAATGTAAGACCCCAGAAATACATTAACACAAGGGAAAAAAATATACCTCAACTCTTTCACACTAGTTGGAGAGTTAACAGCTAAAATTCTACAAAGTTAAATCTGAATTAAAAGTAGCCTTCATACCAGTAGTCAAACTAGGCTCATACAAAATATTAATGCGGGTAACTTGGTTTTGGAAGTGGATGAAGAGTAACAAAAATTTAAAGGCTGCAAGTATAATTATGAGCTTGAAATTGTCTAATACCAGCCTCAAAGATGGGAAGCCAGGGTATTGTTACACCTCTTCACACTTATGCTTTGTGAGTCTGTCTGCAATTCTGAGTCACATTACGGCGTTACATCATATTTTTGGGAGAATACAATTTTTTCTTTTTTAGGAACAAGAAATATCCCATGTGGAAAAAAAAGGAGAAGCTCATTTGCTCAAGTCCATCTTCATAAAGGTGGGTGAGACAGAAAAATGGTTTTACTGGGATGGTAGATTTATTTGGTCATTTTCTTAAGATGCTTCCCAAGCGATTGGAATTCCTATGTTACTAGTGCAAGAATGCAAATCTTACCAATTGAACTTCCTCCCCTTTTCAAAGGTTATATTCTACCAACAACATTTTCATAAACAACCACACGCATAGATATGTATGATGTGTAGGGACACAAAGGAAGCAACGCTTTATCATTAATTAATTGCCCAACAGAATATGAAAATTTCTTGACCACTGCAATGCTTTTGAATTACTCCTTGTAGGAAAAAGGTTTACGAGGCTTTGCTAGCATTTTTCAAGTAGCCAAACTCCATAAGTGTGGAGAATTCTACTCTAGGTAAACTAGCACTTGGAAGGCAATCAGACAGAACAGTGAAGTGGCTTCCAGAAGTATAACCTTTAGAGAGCACCAACTACAGACACCATTTAGCATATTATTTTTTGGGATAAGTTGCTATTTGGCAGTATTATTCTTATTTTTATCTATATTTAGCAGATGTAGTAAAGAGTTTGAAGCTTCTCAAGCAATGAAAACATGCTTTCCAGAATGCAGAATATGGAGATATATGTCACAAAAGAACAATAAGACATAATTGTATTTCTCAGGAAGATTTAATATTCATGTGCTCTAAAATAAAGTGACAATTGTGCAAGGTGCCAACCAGCTGGTTGGTAAGGTCTACTGCTGGTTGTAGTGGAGACTTGGGATCGAATCCTGCCTGCACCTGGGTTGGGGGGTTATGGGTTGGAAGATGGGCTTATCCCCGTTGTGTAGTCCTTCAAATGGAATCAAAATAAAAAAGTGACAATTGCAGAAAAGAGTTGCAGATTTAGTTAGATGCATCAAAGTGATTCTTAACAACAACATGGATTATGAGATTATTTGAAATAAAGAACCAGCTTGCATTTATAATTTATGAAACACAATTTTTTTTCATTTCCAATATTCCAATGTCTAACACAGCATCAATATATATTTTGAGCTTCTTTGACACAACTAGATTGTCCAAAAGCATCAAATCCTTCAATTTAAACATTGTAGTCTTGGTCATTCATTTTCAGACTGATTTACCAGCTTCGAGTAAAGACCTATACCAGCTTCAGACTCATTTTCAGATTGATTTCAAGGGTCTAGTTTCGGATGGTCAGGATTCCACCTTCTCGGTCAAGAAGGTTTGGCGTGCTCATATTCCCCCCCAGAGTTTCCTTTTTCGTGTGGGAGGCTTGTTTAAAAAAACTAAACACTTGTGATGTGTTACAGAATAAGCTCAAAGGCAGATGCATCTCCCCTCATGTTTGCCCTCTTTGCCTCAATAATGGCGAGATGGCAGAGCACCTATTCCTGCACTGCCCAATAACAAGGAAAATCTGGTGTTTCTTCCTCAATTTATTGGGATACAGTTGGATGTTTCCTGAGCAAGCTTTGGATCTTCTGCAAAAGTGGCATGGAAAATCATTCATCAAAAAAAAAAAAAAAAGAAAGAAAGTGGCATGGAAAAGGTCTAGGAAGCAGGGGTAAGCTCTATTGCTATTGGAGTACGGTGACCCATGCAGTGATGTGAGGTGTTAATTCTGAAGTTTTCAAGCGTATTTCTCTAACTGACCTTCAGAGAAATTTAGCAGAAGTCCCCTACTCCTCTCCTGGAAATGGTTTAACTCAAACACTTCATTCTAGGGAGGAGGATCTAATAACTCTAAGCTTTGATGGTAGTGCTCAAGGATCCACAGGTCAAGCAGGAACTGGAAGAGTAATCCATGGGAGAGGGGGGAACATCTTTTGGGCTTTCAGCGATCTGATTGGGAGCTGACGCTACCAAGGCAGAGATCTTAGCTGCTCTCACAGGTCTAGGTTATGTCAAAATGTCAGGCCTTTCCTCTCTATCCATCGAAGGTGATTCCACTAATATGACAAAATGCCTAAGGCAGAAGAAAGGAGGACCTTGGAGGCTTGCTCATCTGCTGAGTGAAGCTAGAGATATTTTGGATTCTTTGAATGTGAAGAGCGGAGAATCTGTGTTTTCTGATAGTTCTTTGCCTATGTAATTCTGTTTCTGCCTCATAAGGCTCCTGTACATCTTCTCTTGTTAACTTTTAATAAAATCTCAGTTAACCTTTCTCAAAAAAGAAAAAAAAAAGTAAAGACCTATACTGTTTCCTATGCAAAAAAAAAAGTATGCATATGCTTGAGAGACATAACAAGAGTATAAAAGAAGGAAGAAGAAGAAAACTTGCCTGCTGATAAGCATGGAAACAGAGCCCAGCCAGTAGAGATCTTATGCATACCTCTCTAACATTCAAGCCCTGATATTAATGAAAAAGAAAAAAAGAAAGTTGAAAAAGAGGATATGCTTCTGAACATCAGGCATAAGAAAATATGCGGATCAAAAGTAATTTCTTCTTTCTGAGGTAAATTGCTCACAGCTGACTGCAGGTATGATGGAGTAAACTTGACACCTTCCATGAGAAGAGCCACAGGAGCTAACAGGATAAGTGACATGATCGTTATTATTGAGAAAAGAGTGATATTGTCCAGAGATTCCTGTTTAGTAAAATAAACAAGTTAAAAGTCCAAATTTCAGTAGGAAAAATTTAACAAGCAAGCACCAATGCAAAAGATTGACTATGCAAATGGCAGGATTAACAATTAGAGCAATAACAAAGCACAATAAGGAAAAACATTTCACTAAATTAGGCACCATATGGCTATACTGATATAGAGCTTGTGGTAGTTTCTTTTACACTGCCAGTCCCAAACCCCAATGAAGGAAGAGGGTTGTCCCAGGTTTTTAGTTGACACAAAACCTTAATCAATCCAGTATGAAGTTATGAACACAAATCCTGAACTTCTTGTACAATGTTAGGGTGCTACATGGCTCTTGATAGAGCACAATGGTGGGACATGATACGTATACCTGGCCTCCCAGGTAGTTAGGATTAAGGATTTAAGATTGAGTTGAGTTGAGCCAGAGGGCATGTAATCACTGTGATAATGCAAAAACATAAATGGATACACATCTTAATTAGATAAATTACCTCTTTCTTAACCATAAACTTTTTACTGAGGACATTACGAGACTGGTTAGTCACGTTGGAAGCCATTGCACTCCAAAATCCAGCCCTATTTCATAGAAGAAAATGACAAAATCATACAGATTAAATATTAAATATAAAATCTAAACTGAATTGTTGTACAAAGAATCAACCCACCATGTTCAAAGGCACGTGTGCTTCTCCGACCTACCTTACTAAGATCAGGAGAAATTTAATTTGCTTACCAGTTAAAAGAGGCCTCAGTTAGTGATGCCAATGCTACTCCACCAACAATTGGTATAAGAGAAGATAACACCCATAGAGTGGGCATCTGTAAGCATAGGATAATTAAAAGTTAGAGAAAGAGTTGGATGATAAGGCATTAAAAGGTTGTACAAGAATAATAAATCTATAGAAATTTCTTAATTATATCCTCCTATAAATATATGTTTGAAAACTTGATGTAATGGTAAAATCCATTTTTTTGGATAAGGTAATAGTAAAATCTCAGGATGATGTGTGTCTGTATGTGTGTGTGTGGGGAGAGAGAGAGAGAGAGGTTAGGTCCATTCAGTCCACCCCTCCCAAGACCCAGATAGCTGAGACCAACATTGGGTAATGGACCTTTTTTATATGTCTGAATAAAGTTACAAAACCAATGTGTTGAAACCAAACAAGGTGCCTAACTTCTTTGATTGGTGACTCATGCATGAAAAAAGGAAAAAATAAAAATAACAAGAAATGTGAACAATAAAAAACATGATATCAGAAAACAATAGATTAATAGAGTAGTTTCAAACGGTTTGTCAGATAGTTCATTTGCAACCTGGTCAATAGCGCAACAGTGCACACTTGCAACCTGGTTCTATTTTAAAATACTGCCCTTAACTTTCTTATAGTCAAGGCAGCCTGAGTATCAGATTGTAGATGAAGTATTACTTCAGGTTGTATAGGAAATTGATAACAACTTGGATGTATATAACTATATATCACCTCCTCATACTCAATAACAAGCTCCAATTTCTGAAAACTATGATGTCCCGATTCTTGCATTGTATAGTCAATATAAGAAAAGCCATAAAATGGCATAGAAAAGGTTACAGTGAAACACTAAAGAAGCTAGTTAGGGGAAAATTAACAAGAAGATTGGACCTAGAATAAATATTCTACAACAGAATTGGGGTAACCAAACAAATAATGCTAAACTCAAGCTTTACCTCTCCAAGAAACAAGGCTGATAGAACAACAGAGAAAAAGGGCTCCATAGCTTTGATTGTATGCGTAAATGAAACAGCAACTTTCCCAAGACTCATATTGGTGAAAAGGTTTCCTAATGTGTGCACCATAGCCAGTGGTAGGATTGCTAAAAGCTGCAAGGTCAGCATTCACAAGCAAGATGTCAGGTTCAAGTATAGGTAAAATAGAAGCAAGTATTTGAAAAATAATTAAATACCTGTGCACCACTAATCTTGGGCCTTCTGTAGAGATTGAATGTCCACATAAAAAAGACAAAAACAGTCCCTACAGAAAATTGGAATGTTGTGACAGTTACTGGGAAGGGATAAACCTTCAGAACCTGAAAGTAATCAATAGCGTTATTCATCAATGCTATTCTTAAGTATTACAGAACATTGAGAACAATATTAAAACCAGGCAGAGAAGAAGATGGTTAGGAACCACCTAAATGGTGCACGTTTTCTGTCTGAAGTCAGTCCAGTTGAAGAGAAATATTTGTATAAACATTGAGTTAAAGATTTGTGCTTACACTCCAAAGGTGACAAAATCAAATATGTAAATGCAAAGTAATCCTTATAGTTGATTTGACAATAACATATACCTTTGAACACCACTTAGCTTATATCTTCATTCATGAGAAGTACAAATGTACCTACGATTCAATAATTATAGTTGGCAACACAAAAAGTAACAGAAACAAATGAAAAAGGAAATTATGAAACTAGCAAATGCGAAGTTGATGGTGATTAGAAACAAAATAAGAACAATTGCAAAATCATAATTCATACAAATACGGAAATGGAGCAAATAAAAAATAGAGAGAGAGAGAGAGAACGAAAAAACGCATGAGCTAAAAAGGGAGAATGTACACCTGCTTATTGTAGATGTTGAAGTAGATGTTGAAAAGATACCATAGGCCAAACAAAGATCCGAGCTGCAAAGTCTGGATCAAACTGACAGATTTGGCGCTCTCACCTGCGCTCTCAGGAACCGAGGTTGCATTGACGCTAAAATCCTTCGAAAGTCCATCACAAATGGGAGATGGAGAAGACAACCAGCTGCCGAAATGCGACGAAGAACATAGCGGCGAAGATCTGTGGATCGAGGAACCAGAGACGCCATGGGCAGAGGTAAGATCGAGTGATTTTGGAGAAGAAGAAGAAGAGAACGATATCGAAGTTAATCTGGTGTTATGATTCGGAATCGGAGGCTTTCTGGTTTTGAGAAAAGGCGTCGACGAAGAGAGAGCTAATGCACTGCTCTGCATTTTGTTCAGCAGCCGAGAGAGCGAGCGAGAGAGCGAGAGAGATGGAATGTGCAAAAGACAAGAGACAATGAACGATTTTGACTCAGCCGAGTTGGTGCCTTCACGCCTGCGATCGTCTGATGGGAATCTACATAGCACAACTTTGTAATGGAATAGACAATAAGCCCCATTTTGACACGAATGCATATTGTCTCGAGGAAGATGGAAGTAAGGCTGATACATGGGTTTGATAGTTGATAGTGGGTCCTCTACAACAAAAAGTTTGCCTCTTACCATGGCCTCAAGATACACCGCAACATTTCCTTGTATATGATCTTGGAATCTCCGTCATTGAGACAAGTTGGCAACGAGTTGTTCAGTGTCAGTGGAATCCACGTCGATTTTTAAAAACTTAAGTGGCGGGGACCCGTACGATGCATGGATTTGTTAAAGAAAAATTAATCTAATATTATTTAAAATAACTAATTTTTATGTAATCTTTATTAAATTATTATAAAAATATTTTAGGAATTTAGATTAATTATATCAATAGTTCTTAATAAAAATAATAAATTATTATTAATTATTTAGTGAAATAATTATTTTTTCATATTATCTCTTAATGCCCTGTTTTATTTATGTTACTTTATTAATGAATAAATGTTATAATTTTTATAAATATTATTTAAATATTAGTAAATATATAAAAATATGATTCTTAAACTATCCTTATAGTTTAGCTAATTGACTAAGTGTATCCTTATTGTTTGAAAATTGATTAGCTAATTGAGTAAGTGTACCATTATAATGTTTCTAACAATTGACTAACTTCACTCTTACTGTATTCCGTCAAAACCCACGTAGACGTGAGACCATGTGATGTTTTAACATTCTTTTAAAACCCAATATTACCCCCTCCCTCGTCCCCTTCCTCTAACCGGCAATCCCTTCCTCCTTTAGACCTACGGTCTCATCTCTTACCTCTCTCTATTTTTCTTTCTCTTACCTTGGGCCATGTAGGTGTAATCGCTTGGAGGAGCAAATCTCTCGATTTTGATGGCTGACGGAGAGACGAGAGGCTACTAATTGAGATATACTGATGACTGACGTAGAGACCGAATCAAATGTGCAGTGGCAACTTCTATTCCATCAATACCAGATATTTCAGCAACAAGAAAGAAAGTAAATCAAGGAGAGATCCCGAGAAAGCGAAACCAAGAAGACCGTCTTCAATAGCTGCGGATTCTGATTCACTTCCTCACAGAGCACAGAGAAGGAGATGGATCCTGACGCTCTGCTCCCCGGAGAACCTGAAGAAGGAAAGCATGACTGACTGAAATGTGCGTGCAGAAGGCYGAAAAAATAAAAGAAAGAAATATCAAAAAAAAAGGAGAGTCAGGAACCCTTCGTTTGAGATAAGATCCGTCTGTAGAGACCAAGTGCGTGCGAAGGTCGTCATCAGAGTCGGATGACAACGCTCGCTTTGAAAACTCTGAAGAATCGCCTCTGTAGTTTCACCGTCAGGCTTCAACTTCACATGCAAGACCAAGTGCGCCAGTACCCTCACTGGCTTTGATCTCGCCTTCTTCTTCAAATGCTTCTGTTCGGAAGAAGATGGTTAGTTTTTTATTCTTTTTTCTAATTGGTTTTCTTTTGTTGTTTCAGCGTCTATGTCTGATGTAACCGTTTTTTGGTCACGTACCATTTTTTGTGATGTATAAATTTTTTGGCTAAGTACCTCGTTGATTGACCCGGTGGTGACGTGCCTTGGTGATGAGCTACTTGGTGGCGAACACCCTGGGGGAGAACTACTTGGTGACGAACTGCTTGATGGCGGTCTGGTGGCGAACTGCCTGATAGCGAACTGCCTGGTGGCGAACTACCTGGTGGCGAGCTACCTGGTGGCGAACTGCCTGGGGGCGAACTGCCTGGTGGCGAACTGCCTGGTGACGAACTGCCTAGTGGTGCTCC